CTCGTATTTTATTAAGTGTGACAATAAAGCAACGCGGGTGTGTCAAAAGTTTTTTGTTGTTGCACTAAGTATCTCCAAACAAAGAGTTAATACTGTTGCAAAAGTCCTCTTTGCAGGTGGAGTCCCGAAGGAAAATAGGGGCGGTGATCGTAAATCTCAAAAAAGTGAAGAAAAAAAGAATGTGTTCGTCATTTTCTCAAGAGACTAAAAGGACGCGAAAGCCATTATAACAGGAAAAAGTCAAAAAGAATATACTTGTCTGCAAGTCTGTCAGTTGCCAAGTTATGGAGACTGTTTAATAAGGAATACCCACAAAATCGGGTATCATATTTTATGTTTCGAAAAATTTTTATACACGATTTTAACATCGGGTTTTCATCGCCCGCCTCAGATGTGTGTAGTAAATGTACGCGATTGAAGCAACAGTACAAATTTGAGACAAAGGCTGAAATTAAAAATCAGCTGCTAGTGGAATACCGCGTACATAGAAAACGAACTGCTGCCTTTTATGAGTTAGCCATAGAAGCCCCAGAAAATAGTTTAAGTTTCTGCTTTGACCTTCAACAGGTACAGCCCTTACATCGGACGGCTATTGGCGATGCCTTTTACTCACATCAGATAAGTTTATACGCATTTTGCTGTGTCGAGCTGTCTTCGCGTAATCCAACTTTCTATGTGTGGACTGAAGATTATGCTGGGCGTGGCTCAACAGAAATTGCCTCAGCACTTCTTCACCATCTAGATTCTCTTGACTACGATAGAATTGAGAAAATAAGACTTTTCTGTGATGGCTGTACAGGCCAAAACAACAAAAATTCCTACATAGTTCCACGCACTTATGTTTTGGCTTAAAAATAAGTCTCCAGAAGGTCTGTCCGAAATCTGAATCACTTTTCCAGTCCGCGGACATAGCTTCATGGCTGCTGATCGTTGTTTTGGGAGAGTGGAGAGGTTGCTTAGGAAAAATACTGATATATTTTCTAAAGAGGAATACATTAAATTTTATTCAGAAGTCGGACAAGTGAAAATTTTAGGAAACGACTGGAAAATTTATAATGTAAAAGAACTAGAGAAAGTGTACAATAAGGTTAAGGGCATTGTTGAAACAAAAAGAATTTTTATCACAAAAAGTAACAAAAATCAACGAAATCCTAAGATTGAAGTGAAAACACATCTGTATTATCGGTTTGCACCTGAAAATAAATCGCGTCAGATAATGCTAAAGAAAGAAAAAGACGATGACAACCTGGTTCTTAACATAATACAGCCCAGAAACTCTTTACCGGATAAGAAGAAACATAGTCTTAGAAAGCTTTTGAAAGAGCTGTTCGGTGAAAATTGGATGTCGCGAGCAGATCTAAAATGGTATAAAGATTTACTTATTTCTGGTAATGCAAATACAGAAACTAGCGACAAGGAAGAAGATAAGGGCGAACAGGATGTGCCATGTGACTGTTTAGATGAAGAAGCTGCTCTTCATATATAAATATTTTATGTTTCTCTTGTTTCTTTTTTTTTGTTTTTCATGTCTGTGTTGAATTTTCCTAATTAAAATATGTTTTGTGTTCCAGTTTTATAAAAAAAATGTGTTTTCCAAGCATTTTATTTTTTTTTGTCGAGAATTTTTATGGCTTTGCTATCAAAACCGTCTATATCCAAATTAATTTCCAATTTTTTTCAAAAACTATTGAGATTTGAGAAAAAATTTCAAATTGCGTCAAACTGCTTTCCTAAAACACTACAAATAAACATTTTTTGCTATCCCTATGTATTCAGGCGAACCGATGAGAAGTTTTCGTTGATTCTTGAACATTTTTTCTAAATGGATATAGCCGCTTTTGAACGCTAGCTCCTCATTTAAAATCTAGTTTTTCAAATTTCTGCTCTTCATTAGCTAATTTATTGTTCAATTTCTGAATTTCTTGTAGTTTGATCAATTCTAAACTTTTGTCATTTCCAATTCGTTCATGTGCCTTGTTTTTTTAGTGTTAATGCAACTAGGATAAAAAATGGCGAAACAATAAATATACTAATAATAATGAGCATCTTTTTTGCAACATTTAAATTTACCTTCCATAGCTTAAAATTAAACAACTACTTAATTACTTAATAAATTTAAAAGTTTCATCCGCCACTGTGTCTCCTTTATACATATAAATAGGTAAATTTGTATCTATGCAGATAAATCGTATTTTTCTATGCTACTAATGAAATTTCGATAATAATTATATTTACAATTTAGGTTGTTATGCAAATATCTCAAAAATTAAATATTTATGCGGTACTTTAGGGATTCACTGTGTAAGCGTGATGTTAGTAAACAACGAAATCATCAAGGGAAATTAGTTATTCTCTCATAACATCTTCAAGTGTGGAATATTACGTTATAATCCATCTATGACGAATGTACGTGCTCCAGGAAGATTAATCAGTCCTTCTATATCTGCACACATGCATGCACTTGACTACCTGCCTATTAGTTTTAGTTTACGTACGCTATCAGCTTAGTTCCCGAAGAGCTTCTTGTTAGAAATTTACAATCCCTTAAGCTGTATCCAGCTTGTTTGCTAAATTGAGAGTTTTTCTGATATAATTATTTGTAGCTTATGATTTTCTTTTTGAAACTTATTTGTTGGAAGGGTAATGATGTTCTGAACTTCGACAGATTTTAAAAATAAAAAGAGTATTGTTATCGTAGTAAATGATGTATATCTGTACCTCAGAGCAGAAGGGTATTAAGTCCAAAATTTAGGATTTCCTGCTTCTTTAATTTAAATTACTTAAAATTTCGCGCTTAATCACCTGGCAAAAGTTTAGAGCCCTTGGACTAAAGGCTTCTGAAATAGCATTTTTAAAGTCAACATAGTAATGAGAGCAGAAGAGTATTAACTACTTTCCACATGTTTTAAGTCCACAAAATCACATACAGTTTACAGAGCAAAACCGTATTAAGTCGCTGAATTAGTATTATGTCCACATGCATAAAAGCAACAAGTATTAAGTCCACTCCCACCCATTGTTTTGCGATGCAGACCGATGTTCTCAAGTTGAATCCTTCATTATCGTTAGTTTTGTTTTATGTTTGCTTATTGATCTTCTTGTCGAGCTGTTTAAAAATAAAAAACTGTGGTCAAAAACTAACAGTGTTTAAAAAAAAAATGAGTGCGAGAAATAGAAGAATGCTTCAGGAATGTATTGAAAGGGAAAGAAACAAAACTCACCCAACCTCACCTGTAGAGATTTCCAGATAAGCAATTAATTTGATGGAAGGTTGGTTATAAATGTTTAGCATGCCGTAAAGTTAGTACTTTACGCACGGTAGTAGAAAAACTGAAAGTTTGTTTGATTTTTGTAGTTATTAATAATTCGAATTTATTTATCACAGCTTATAAAACTCAGAAAAATACCCAGGATTCAGATGTTAAGAAAGGCTACTCTTGAAAATAAGTGCGACTCAGTAGTTGAATATGGCAGGCCAAAAGAAAGGCAAGAAATATTATCTATAGAAAATTTTCCATGCAAAGGTAAAAGTCAAAATTAAAGTACGAGTATAAAGTGTGTGATTATTATCTGTTGTTTTTTATAGTAAATCGAATTGGCGGCTCCCCCCCCCCCCCCCCCCCAAACAATGGAGAACCAGGATACGATTATTAATATGCTGGCATCTTCTAATGCGCAGATGTTGGATATTTCGTACAATTTTGTTGACCACTCTAAGTTTAATAAACCAAGCTGTAGTTTTACTGATTTTACTCAAGAGAATCAGCCTCTGGCCAGATACGTTTAAACCATGCCACCACTGCTCCCAGAAATGATTCGAAAATGGGGATATAAGTGAAAATGATACGTATGAAGACTCAGGAAGTTCCTACGTCACTGACGAGGATGACTTTGAAGTAGAAGCGCACTTATCTAATTCAGAGGCAATTCAAATGGAAGAAGAAGAGGAGCACAAGGCAACTAATAATAACGAGATTAAAAAAAGAAAAAAGAAATTAAGATAAGAAAACAAACGGAAAAGAAATATAGTTAAAAAGAAGATGGTAGGAGGGCAGATATACAAATCCAGTAAAACAGAGATATTAAAAAGAGAAAAATAAGAGAATCATGCTTAAATTGTCGTGTAAAGTGTTCAGAGAAAATATCAGACTCAGAGAACAAAAGTTCATGAAGAATTCTGGAATGAAGATATCTCTATTGATTAAGAGACAATTTTTGTGTTTATCCATTCTACAAACACCTATTTTAAGAGCAAGGCAACGAACAGGCAGTCGAGAAGAAAAACGACTGTATACTCTAAAATATTATTTCCTTATAGATGGAGAAAAAATATAGGTGTGTCGAACATATTTTTTAAACACCCTCGATATTTCACAGACATTTGTCAGGTTTTCTCTACAAAAACGACAATCGAGTGGCATGTTCGAATGTGATAAAAGGGGGAAACAGCCTTCAGTGAATAAAATTAAGGATGAAGATAAGAATGCGATTCGTCAACACATCATGTCATTTCCATGTGAGGAGGCGCACCGCAAAAAAGTATTTGGGCAGTCATTTGAACATTTCCACCATGTATAAATTGTATAGAGAACAACGCCAATTGGAGAACATACGTCCAGAAGACATTCCTAAACAATGGATTTATAGCCAAATCTTTAACACTGAATTTAACCTAGCATTCCCTCCTCCTGCAAACGATACCTGTGATGAGTTTGCTGTCAATCTGAGGCAGGCAGGTTCTCCTATTGAGAGAGAAAAAATACAAACGGATTATGATTCACATTTAAATGAAGCTGATAAAAGATACGAATTAAAAAAACAAGAAAAACAGTTAGCCTTAGACAAACCTGAAGAAATTGTGTTAATGATTGACCTATAAAAGTGTTTACCATGTCCAAAATTATCAAATGCTCAAAGTTTTTGTAGTTTAAAGATATGTAGACTTAAAGATATCATCAAGTGATGAAGTCACATCAAAGGAAACTCATACCGCCTTAACCATGGTTGATAATTCTATTCCTAGCACGTCTAGACAACAAAAGACTGGTCCACCAAACTATTACATTTTTTCACCAATACGAAGCAATGAAAGTGATATTGACGACTCCGATGAGGATCCCAATTTCCGATTGGTTCAGAACAGTAAGACCCCATCTATTGTCGTACCTCGAATTGCATCATTGACCCGGAGCAGCACCAGCAGTAGCAGCAGTAGCAGTAGCAGCTCGAGTTCATCGACATCTAATATTTCGTCAGACACAGAAGATGACAGTGAGCAAGCAGACCCTCAAAATGGTATGGTTGCTGAAAATAATTCCCAAAATCCCGAGGTAGAAAAAAAGAGTAGAAGGAGGTACGCAAACCAGCGAAATGGAATACGAAAGTCGCAAAAGTGCTACGAAATTCTGGCAAAGCCTACCAGTCTCTGTTGAAATCGAAGAAACAAGTACCAGAGAGAAAAGTTCGACCGCCCTGTGGAGAAAAATGTCGACTAAAATGCAAAGATAAGATCGATGAAATATCAAGGCAACAGCTTTTTGATGCATTTTGGGGACTCGGAAACCTTGAAAGGCAGAGAGAATTTGTAGTACGACACTCGCAACCAATAAAGCCTAAATATCGATACTCAAGCACACAAGACTTTAGAGCTCTTAATACCGCTTTTTATTTTGAGGTTAATGGATGCAAAATTAGAGTATGCAAGCCATTTTTTAAATCCACTTTGGACTTGAGCTATAAGGCAATAAAAACGGCACTTAAAAAACAAACAGAATCTGGAGTTATTCAAGCGGATCTCAGGGGAAAACACGCCAACCATCCAACTATTGACCCACAGATTAAAAAGAGTGTAATAGATTTTATAAATTGTATCCCAAGAATAGAATCCCACTACTTAAGAGCACAAACAAGTAGAGAATTTATTTCATGTGATAAATCTTTGGCAGATATCTACAGAGATTATAAACGATTTCGTGAAAGGGATGAATTACCTGTTGCCACGTCTTCCACATTCAACAGGATATTCAACACCGAATTCAACATTTCTTTTTTTGTACCGAAAAAAGATCAATGTGATTTGTGCGAAAGGTACAAAAACTCAGATGAAGAAGAAAAGCGCAAGTTAAGCCAAGAATATGAAGAACATCTAAAAGAAAAAACTTTGGCAAGAACTGAAAAAGAAAATGACAAGAATAGGACAGATGGTACCATCATAGCAGTTTATGACTTGCAAGCAGTATTGCAGGTTCCGAAGGGACAAATATCCCTATTTTTTTATAAATCCAGGATCAATTGCTTCAATTTTACTGTCAGCGATTTAAAGGCAACAGATGTCGTGTGCTACTTTTGGGATGAAACCGAAGGAAAGAGAGGAGCTGTTGAAATTGGTAGTTGTATACTCGACTACATTAAATCTCAGGTAGACCACACTCCCAATAAAGAAATTGACGTAATATTCTACTCAGACAATTGTGGCGGTCAACAAAAAAATAAGTTTCTGTTGTCTGTCTATGCCTACGCTGTCAACAAGTTGAGAGTTAAGTCTATTACTCACAAGTTTTTAATCCGCGGTCATTCACAAAATGAAGGGGATAACGTTCATAGTGTGATTGAAAAACAAATTAAAAGATATTTGCAGTCGGGTCCAATATACATACCAGAGCAATATAAAACTTTGATTGGTACAGCCAAAAAGACGGGAAAACCTTACAAAGTCATAGAAATGACTCATAATAAGTTTTATGACGTCAAAGCATTGCAAGAATCGTGGGGCACCAATTTCAATATAGACGAGGAGAAAAATCAAATCAAGTGGCATGACATTAAGGTTCTCAGAGTTGAAAAAAAACACCTTGAAGCGTTTTTCTACAAAACATCATTTACTGAGGAAACTTTTAAAAAAGCTTGTGTGCGAAAGAGCAGGGTTCTCCGCGCAAGAGGAACCGGTTCAACCATAGATCAATCGTTATTTTCAATTGGCTTAACACAGGCATACACTGACAAAATTGCATTGTCGGAAGCTTAAAAAAAAGACATACAAGAATTGATTGATAAAAACGTTACTCCAAAATCGTACTATGATGTTTATTATAAAGGCGTTTTGAGCGATAATGCATGATAATTAACTGCTTTATTGTTATTAAAATGTTTAGGTATTTAACTATCCATTAGATCAAAAAGAATATTTTACCAAAAAATGGTACTGATAAAAAAGTGAAATACCAAAGTTGTGCAGTTATTTATAAGTAATTGTAGATTCAATAACGGTGATCTCAAAGTGCCATTATTAGCATTTAAGTTTAAAGTTTATTATTTCTCAGCTTAGCTACTCAGATTTTTGTTTTATTTAATCTTATAATAGGTATTTAAAAAATATCTACTAAAAGTTTTTCAGTTGTGTTAGTATACTTTTATACTTTTTTGAAGTTTAATTAATAAAAAATATTGTTTGATTTCGTACTTCTAGTGTTTTCTTAAAATCATTCTCCAATATACCCCTAGTGATGGTCACAGACCGCTCTATGAATTGGATTAATTATAAATAAGACAAAATGTTATTACATTTTAAATTTATGTTGCTTCTTCAAAAGAGAGCCAACTAAAAACTAAATTCATCAACACATGCTCAACTCAAAATAATAAAACAAATATCCATACATTGTTAAGCAATAGGGAAATAACTACAAAAATCCAATTTTCAGCCTCAAAACATGATTAAAACACAAAATTCCTACAATATCATTCTTTTAGCAGCATAATATAAAACCATAAATCTATACAAAAAACTGCAATGCACAGGGACACAGTAATTAGTTTTTCGCCTTTTCTGAAAAAAGTGCTTTTTTGAGTTAATACCTCTTTAGATCTAGGTGTGCGATATGCAAGCAGTTTATTGGTGTTGCTAACTTTAGGTTACTATAATTTCTCCCCTAGCCAGAGTGACACCTTTTTTTAATTTTACTGGCTCTGTAACGTTCATTTTTGGCCCCACGAATTAATAAAATTGTTTTGGCTTACCTGGTTAATCATACGAAAAAAAAGGGTAAAATCGTATTGATGATATCACTATTATTTTTGTCATTAACTAATTTCACCTGTATTCTAACTTTCGGACATCATTATTACAATTTATTTCATCTCACCACTTAGTAAAAGGGTGGTAGTTCTCCTAAAAATAGACCAAGTTTCGTTGTAAATTTATATATATTATGTATTATAGTCTCACCTTGGGTAATTAATTATTTACGATACCATTCTTTAAGAATTTCATTGCTTATTTTTGTTATTAGGTTAATATTTTTTAATTGTGACAGTGAATGACATAAACGTCACTTGACGACAGAACACCGACAAGTGTCATGTTTGTAGTACGTTCCAATATCGGGCTCAGAACCCGAGGTAAGGTAGTTTCACAATGAGCAATTTTAAGTCGTGAGGGATTTTTTTTTTGCGATCGCTGTTGTATTAATTTTTGTCGGGAACAGTTTCCCAAATGTAGTTATACTGTATATAAATATAGTTTTTAGAGTACCTTTCGTAAGTGGTCTCTTAAGTTATATAGTGGGGAATTCTTGAAGATGAATTTCTGAACCCACCTGGCTTGACATTTATCGGAAAGGGATTTCGGCCATTTTTGAACGGCTGACGTATTTTTTTTTGTCAGTGGGTGTTGAATCACGAGGAGGACGAATTTTGCGTCGAAGTAGAATTTTGTTAATATTTAGCCTCATCGGCTTACCTAATTAAAGGGGATTTTAGATTCTACTTCGGGTTAATTGTGGGTAAATGGGCATTTCGTATTTTGAGGGGAATTTTAGTATATTGGTAAATTCCTATGGTCCAGCCCATATCTATTATAGGATTTTAACGCAATAATTGAAAGTTCACAGCATTTGGAGTGTGGAATATTGTTGTGCTGTGGATCATCTCACGTGTTTCTCATCCTTGGAAGGCTACCAAGTTAACCCTTTACGAAAAAGGTATGTTTTGTATATATTTGGTTATGTTACGCACCATGTGGCTGTAAATTTCTTTTATGTTATGGCATGGTGTAACAGAATTTTAATTATTTGAGCTCATAATACTGTTTATGACTCACTGTTGAGCCAATGTAATTTTTCTTCATCCTAGATGCTGAATAGTTTCTAGTTTATGTACATTTTTGGGTAATCCTATAGTTCGGGATACTTGCGTCAATGTGTATTGACATTTTTCTTTGTAATATTTTAAGGGTTTCACCCAGGGGATTGTTAACCCAGGATTCGACAACAATTTTTACCCAGGGGGTAGCGACTCAGGATTTCAACAGTTGTACACAGAGGGTTATATCGTCCGGAGTTCAACGGTTTCATCGTGGACTCATCGAGGGAACACAGAACATTGGTATGCTAGCCGCCCAGCTTACTTGTAGCTAGATTTACAAGGATGATTCTCGTTCTGGATAGGAAGATGGGAATGCTGTGAAAGAAGACACCCTACTATCAGGTTTTTTTTTGTACGTTATATTGAAGGTTTCATGTGTGCCTTGTTAAACTATACATTCACTTTCAACCGAATGTTGTCAAGGTATTCTCAACATTATTTATACTTTTGAGCACAGAATGTTCTAAGGTTCTTTCACTCATAACTTATGTATTATCAAATATTACATCGTTTAATTGATTAATATTTCAAACTTTTTATTAATTTAAGCACTTAATGCTGATGTAGTAATCCTTCGGGTCGCAGAACACTTGGGCTGCTTCCACGTTTAAGTTGTAATTCTTCAGTTATTAAGGGCTACTGTCATAATTTTACTTTTTCAGTTTATTCATTATTAAATGGACCAGACTTAACGATCAAGTTCAGCGATCTCAGAAGACCCGTGTGGGGGCAGAGATTTTACAACCTCTTCCTATTTATGGGAGCTTTAAAGTATATCAACGGTGTCTGAAGTCCTTTGTGTATTTTTCATTTTTTTTTTTTTTTTTTTAATAATCTTTTAATGCTGGAGTAGTGATTCTTCTAGTTGCAGAACATCTGGACTACTTCTACGCTTAAGTTGTAAACCTTCAGTTATTAAGAGCTACAGTCAAATTTAACCTTATCCTTCATTTTTACATTTTATTTATTTTTTTATGACAAGACTTAACGTATGAGTTAAGCAATCTCGGAAGACCCGTGTGGGGGCAGAGATTAAGTAACCTCTTCCAACCTGGGAGTTTAAGTAAATAACCTACCTCTGTGTCTAAAGTCCTTTATGTGTTCATTGTATTTTTATTTTATTTTTATATTTTTATTTAGTTCTATGAATTATACTTAATTATAAAATTTCATGGTTTAATAATTTTCTTTTGGGTAGTTTGGTCTTAACTAAAAGTTAAGCAGATATCGCCTTCCAATTTGGAGAGGGTTATAAGCTTATAAGGATTATAAGTTTACTGTTTTACAATATATGATGTAGTATAGGTGCGGTTATGCACAAGATTGAAGTTAACTATTATTTTATATTTTATGTAAGGTGGAAATTAATATTTTGCGCAAGCGTCATGCCTGGTACCAAACTAACGACGAACCGTGCCATATTTTGATACATTTAATAATTTATTTTGGGTTATGCATATACATATATGGTGTAAACTTTCCCTTTAATTTCCTCCAACTTATTTTTTTGGATTATCTAAAGCAATTAGGTAATTAATTAGTTTTAGTAATTTGTCGAACTCATAATAAATTGTTGAAATTTAAAGTTGATATATTTAGTAAATATTTTTCCTCTTTTTTTATAAAGGAACATAAGTTGAGGTTTGTCTTTTATTTCTTTCCTCATTTACTGGGTTTTTGGGGAAATAGGATCATAGTTTGGCCACTATATTGACCCAGTTGGCGCCTACTCATTTGTCTACTATTTCCGGAATTCTTGTAAACTATCCACCCCCTAGCTGCCGTCTGAGCGACGTCGAAGGCCCGAAGGTTGACACCGGAACAGCCGAAACTTGTGTAACCGTAGTAGACAACATTTTTAATTGTAGTTAATACTTTAATAATTTTTTTTAAGTTTAAAATTTTGGTGGAATCACCGAGTTCATTTGGTAGGTTACAGCTCTATGTCGCAACCCCATAAAATATTTAACCGGCCATTTTCTTTGCCAAAAATCAGAATAATGCTTGTCTATGCCTATCAAGTATCAAGTTGTCAACTGTGATGTGTGAATTGCTCTTAAATATCAAATTATTTAAAAATGTTTGTATGCTTTTGTTGATATTTATTTTTAACAATTTTTAACATATATAATTTAAAAATAATTACACAAGTAAAAATATAACTTTTTCTGGTTAATCGAATCGATACGCATTTGATTGTTTCAAGGTTAAGCGAGTGACAGTTTTACAGTAATTTTCATATTTTATGAACCTTTTGAGATGTCTTTGCTAACTGAATTTGAACAGGTATTTTTCAAAAATGATACAAATAAAAATTAAAATATACATTCGAAGTAATGGATGACATTAACAAACGAACAGACAAACAAATACTGGAATTCTAGGACTTCTAAACCAACAAGCTAAACAATAGGATAGAACTTTAAATATACCTAATGTTTAATATTAAAATTAAATTTTACATATTGGTTTTGTTTTAACAATTAACAATTTCTCAGATTGCATTTTTGTAGTTTGGTATCATTTTCTAACAAAACTCCAGTAGGAGTGGGTGGCTCAGTGGTAGAGTCTCTGCCTGTGGATCCAAGGGTCTCAGGTTCGAATCCCACCGTTGGCCGGGATTTTTTAATTTAATTGAATTATTTAAAATTAATTTTGATGCCTTGGTAAGATTCCCCACTCGACCATTCACTGTTGGATTCTAATTAACAGTGCTGTTCCTAAAGTGGCGCTGGGAAACAGTAGCAAAGCCTACATATAACACAAAGCTAATGGCCTTAGTAGTCGATGCCGATGACACCAAATTAAAAAAAAAAGACTTCCAGTAACGGCACAGCTTATATAATACAGATAAAACACTCTCTTGGCGGCAACGGTTTTCGT